CTTTATTCCCAATCGAACATTGTTGAACAAGCGGTCACGTGCTCCTGCGTACACCAGTCACCTGGTCACCGTGCCTGCAGCCTGGGTACAACTTACTAGCCTGTTTGACCTTTTTTGGGTGCAGTCCTGTCACTCGAGTTGAACCTTGGTGTCAATAGGCCTTGACAGATTATGCTAGCATAATTTTTCGCACAATTCCTACCAAAATCGAATAATCGCATAATTCGAGGCAATTTGCATACGAATCGCATAAAATTGGAATAATCCGCCTGTTCACAACAAATTCCATACAGTTGTACATGTTCTACAAGTACAAGTACAAGAAGTGGATGCACCAGGAAGTCGTAGGTTTACGACTCCCTTCTGAACATGTCCAGTCCACTACAATCAGTGACGGTCGTAGCTACATGTAAATATGGCTTTTACAGTACATGTACATGTATGATATAACCTCAGTTCTAACACTGGGTTAACACTGGTTAAAAACCAGTGTTAGATAAACCTTGTTATAGTTCACGCAATTGTTAGATTGACAGCATGAAACAAGGTGGAGGACACTGTGTTCGGAAACAGTGACCTTACTACAACCTTCCGCGGTTGGCAGAGCCCCGGTCCCTGCGGACCATTTGAACCATATGGGTATCGCACCCGGTTCTGACCCTCATTATGCTAGAGGGTTAGGACCCTACTCCTGATGTCGTCTTGTTTTCTTCGCTCTTTTCTTTAACTTGTATAAAGACTTCTTTTTCTTTTTCTTTTTTCTTCCAACTTCTGCCCATGGCGTCCTTCTCTCAGCTCGTCAACTAGAGTAGTCTTATAACGAGGGTCAGAACCGGGTGCGATACCCATATGGTTCAAATGGTCCGCACTAACCGGTACACGTACATGTAGCTGTTGCGTGTTGCCACGTCGAAAAACCTTTGGGGGATCCGTAGAGACATTGTAGAGAGGGAGGGAGTGTGGGTGCGAGAGAGTATGTGTGGGTGCGAGAGAGTATGTGTGGGAGTGCATGGGAGAATACGTGTACTTGCATGTGTGTAGTGGTGTGGGCATGTGTGGATTTGGCATCTAAGTTCCCAGCTCTATTCTATATCATTAACACCGGAACTGCTGCTGCTGCATAGCCTCAAGTCTAAAGACTTAGCAACGTCACGCCTGCACCTGACTTGTGCGCTATGATTCCCCTCAGTATTTCACACCTTGCTCCCCCTTATGTTCAGGCTTCCCGTTTTGGAGCCATCAGTGGCCTGGTGATCGTAGTAATACGTGAAACTCAGACTTGCGACACAGCTTCCAATCTCTCCTGTGTAGATGCATTGTATAATATCCACAGGTTTGAAGGAAGGATGCAAACGGAATACAGTGGTCCCTCTATAATCCGGCACCATTTGTGCCACGAAAATCTGCCGGATTAGGGAGGGTGCTGGATTAAAAAATCTGATTTACTGCTGCAATGTACATGAAGAGGACATTTTGGCTACTGAAAATTGTGCTGGTTTATCGAGGGTGCTGGATTATAAAGTGCCGGATTAGAGAGGGACGACTGTACATTGTTTTCTGGTCGAGGGAATGGAAAAGGGAAAAGTCTAAGGAAAACATTGACTGTCACAACCAGGACTCGAACCGAGGACCTTCGCATGAGGATGGTAAGTGGAATATACATGTACATGTATTGTATGAATAAAATAAATTTAAACTGGAAATATTGAAATCCGCCAACACTCATTATCAGTCATTAGGGTATAATAACTATTCCACAGAATGCAGGCATGACAATCAGTGACTACTGTCTCACTGTCTCAGTATTCGGTGGCATGTTTTGTAAGTGGTGAGCCTGTGCTGCTGCTGGTACCATAGTGGAGACATGTGCTGATATGGTGGTGCCAGTGCACTAGTAATAAAGAAATGGAGCAGAATTCGAGGCCGCCATAAGGTTTGTATGGTTCTGCCAATTTCACTGCTTTTCGAGCAGAATCCGCCACCTTTTCGAGCATAATCCGCCGGTGCCTAGTCCGCAGGGACCGGGGCTCTGCCCACCGCGGAAGGTTGTAGTAAGGTCACTGTTTCCGAACACAGTGTCCTCCACCTTGCTTCATGCTGTCAATCTAACAATTGCATGTACATGTATGTACTGTGCTGGTAAGTGACTGTTTAGGTTGTGTTTTTTCATCATGCGTCATCATCTTGTCATACATGTATAATTATGACGTTCGCTGTTTTTTAAAGCTATTGATATGATTTAAAAGAAATCACGACAATACAATGTGCATGTGGCTGGTTTTCGTCTTGTATGCTCACCCTTCCCCATTCTTACGTTACATGTAACTAATTAACTACATGTAGAACCTTCCAAGCTGCAAGGCTGTTGGTTTGCGCGTTCGAGACCAGCTAACCATCAAGCCGTTGAATGTCAGTATCCCATCAGCCAGTGTTGTGCTAATATTATTGCTGCAAGTTTTGACTCACCAGAATGAAACATCCCCAGCACAGCTAACAAGCTCAAAATAATTTCATT